ACTTCGTGTTTTTCCAATAAAGGAAAAGGCAAGCTAACATTCTAACTGGTGCACTAGCCAAGTTTATCGACTTACAATCTTCGACAAACTAACGGACTCGACAATAGCCTTATTATTAATCAACATTTGGTGCCGTGTCCAGATTTCTTCACTTTTACCATCGAAGAAGAAGACGAAGAAGCATTTAGAAAAAAAGAAAATTACGTCAATCGTCGAATGTATCACCAAAGCAGTATGACTCACCGGATCGATCAATCAAACACGTCTTGTTTTGATTGTATATACAGGTATCATTATACAATTACCGCATGTTCGCATACAATTTGTATTAGCTGCTTACATGCAGCAATTGAGGAGAAGATCCAGCTGCAATTAGAAACATTCATTTGTCCTAGATGTTCCAATAAAGAAGATTCAACACAGTTAAATCCACAACAATCAGTTGTTGAACCATCATCGAAAGCTCGTCAACGTAATAAAAATAAAACGGAATCAGCTCAAATTCTTCATGCTCAATTACATTCTGTTCAACATAAACATGAACCAACACAAGTAAATCAACTTCAACAACAAGAATATATTCAAACACTTGAATTACAATTAAAACGTCTTACAGAAGAAAATATTCATTTAATTAATACTGGAGCTTCAACAAATGTTAAAATCCAAGTATTAGGTGAACAAATTAAAAAATTATCAATTGATAATGCTAATTTGGAAAAACAAGCACATCGTAATGAATTATTAGCTAAAGAAGCCCAAAAAGAAAAAGAAGCTTTAATTCGATATAATGAACAATTAGCACAGTCTCTTCCAAATGTGGAAAAAGACTTAAAACGTATCGAAGAAATACTTCATGAACAATTAAATGAAAGTCAAACATCATATTTACATGAAATCGATCAATATAAACGTCGCATTGCACAACTTGAAACTGATAATGAACAATTTGAAAAAGAAATCTATCAATTAAAACAAACAATTGATTTAAATCAACAAAAAGAACATGAATATAATGATTTACAACAACAATTAACTAAAGAAATTGAAGAATATAAAAAACAAATTGATCATTTACAAATTCAATATCAATCTCAAAAGAATAAATTTAGGCAAGAAATTGAACGACTTGAACAAGAAAAAATATCCGAACAACATCAATATGAAGAATCTCTATATAGTAAACTTGCAGAAAAACATATTCAAATCGATGCATTGCGCACAGAACTTGATGAAACTAAAGAAAGAAATGATTCTACATTTTCACAATTAGATGGACGTCTTCAATCAAAACGTGATGGAAGTCAATTACTTAATAACATTCAATATTTTGGTCAATGTCTTTCATCGTCTCGACATATATTTGAATCGACCATCGAATCAAGCAAACAAACTTTATCAACAACAGTGACAAAAAATAAACATGATAATAATCAACGTCATATACAAACAAATAACGCTATCCTTATTCTTATGATCTTAATGATTCAACACACAAAAAGTCAACTACAATCTACGGCGAATCTTGTTATAGGATCAACCGTGGTTCATCACAAACATATATTATGGAATTTGAACTACACAATTCTTACCACGCGAGTCGACTTCTAATTTTTATTAATGTCGTCTGGCATAGATATGGAACGGGCAATAAATGGTTTCACACATGGTTTTTATTCTGGTTTATTCGTTATATCTGAAATCACAGTTTTAACTGGTCGTCAACAAGTCTTTTCTATTCCTTATCATACTTGTATGCGATCGATTTTTTTTCTTCACCAATTCTACTATGATCATCGAATTATTTTGCTTTCGATGAGAATATTCATGGATCTTCATGGAATCATTACTTACAGGTGGCAGTTTATGATTCATTCACGTTTATTACGAATGTCAGAACTTACAATATCAACACGAATCGATCGTCGAAGATGGATGAACACATTTTGTTTCTCTATTGGGCGGTTTCATTTTTCTTCGTGCGTTTTATCTTCCTTACATTTGTGCAAGTTTTGTTTTCTTTTGTTTTGTTGTTTATCTTCTCATAAGCTTTTTTTGGTCGATGAGCAGATGATGCGCTCATCTGTTGTAGGGAAGGAGGTGTTAGGATATATGGATGATTTCATATTTCTTTTTCTTCAGTTGTTACTATATGTTCTTACCCGTCTGACCTATTCTTCTTCACTGACGTCTTTTGTTGTAACTCTACTTGTTGTTCATTTTCAATCAGACGAAGAAACTCAACTTCTTCCCTGACTAGTCCAATTTTCCCTTCCTATATATACTTCGTGTTTTTCCAATAAAGGAAAAGGCAAGCTAACATTCTAACTCTCGATAAAATGTGATTTACAAGGGAACTTCATCATTTGAAATACTT